GCCTACACTACACTAAAAAACATTTTGAAACAATTAGACAAAAATAAGGGTTCCGTACAGTACGTCCCCAACGGCGCCCGGAGCCCTGCGGCCCACCGACTGTGGTACAATTCGGTAATGAGTCTAAACAGCAGCATTACAGCAGCACCGGCAGTGACTTCCTCGTTCGTATTTATATTGGCACAAACTGCTCGTCAACCCCCCCCCCAGCTCATAGCTGCCATGTTCCCAACAACGTACTCCCTCCCCCTTTCCGCAGCAGCCACTGTTTCCATGGTAACCAAGCCATGGCACGGTGCCGGCGTTTGCTCTGATGTGTGTGTACCATTAATTCCCTCAGTCTTACTAGGCCTCTGATCTAGGACCAGTTATGGCTTCACTGCTACGGCTGCACGGCATTACAAGCCAGTCTGAGAAGGTCAATCCAGGACCACAGAGGCCAGTCATGTGTCCAGTCATGTAGTCAGCCTACTTTTGACAGCAAAGTCACAGATGTGGTAGAACATCGTACACCGTAATCTGGTCCCAAGAGGTTTCCAACTGTTATGCTGTGATAACATGAATGGGGACAATTCCAGACTGTTAAAGGGTATTCTGGCTGCAAACTAGCATATAATATGTTATTTGAGACGTCATGCGGTATTCTGGAGCATCTCTCAGCCTCAGGTTTGATGAAATTCATGATTTTGTATCCTTTTTGTGCTTTCGTCCGTGATGTAGAGACTAACAAATGTGACCTTTGGCCTCCTGGCAGTGTTGTTTTGCATAGCTAGTAGTAAAACATTTTTCCAAAGTTCTTCTGACCTTCAAATAGGCCAAACGTATGTGGAAACCCTTCCTAATTATTGAGTTCAGGTGTTTTAGCCACACCCATTGCAAACAGGTATATAAAATTAAGCACAGACATAGACATACTGGCAGTAGAATGGGTCGTACTGCGGAGCTCAGTGACTTTAAACGTGGCCTGCTAGATCTGCCCTAGACAACTCTAAGTGCTATAATTGTGAAATTGTAAAACAACAGCTCAGCCATACATAAACTCACAGAGTGGGGCTGCCGAGTGCTGAAGCACGTAAAAATCACTCACTAAGGTTCCAAACTGTCTCTGGAAGCAACATCAACACAAGAACTGAGCATCAGGAGCTTCATGAAATGGGCCTCCATGGCTGAGCAGCTGCACACAAGCCTAAGATCACTATGCTCAATGCCAAGTGTCGGCTGGAGGGGTGTAAAGCGCCGCCACTGGACTCTGGAGCAGTGGAACCGTGTTCTCTGGAGTGATGAATCAGCTTCACTATCTGTCAGTCTGATGACGGATCTGGGTTTGGTGGATGTCAGGAGAACGTTACCTACCGGAATGCAGAGCCAACAGTAGAGTTTGGTGGAGGAGGGATGATGGGCTGGGCTGTTTTTCAGGGTTTGGGCTCTCAGTTCCAGTGAAGGGTGATGTTGATGCTGCAGCACAAAGACATTTTACACAGTTATCTGCTTCCAGCTTTGTGTCAGCAGTTTGGGGAAGAGCCTTTCCTGTTCCAGCATGACTGAGCCCCTGAGCACAAAGCAGCTCCATAAAGACATGGAGTGACCAGTTTGGTGTGGAGGAACTCCAGTGGCCCTCACAGAGCCCTGATCTCAACACCACTGAACAGCTTTGGGATGAACTGGAACTGAACTCCAGTAATCCTTGATCAAAACAGAAAAAAACACGAAGTTTTTCTGGAATCAAAATATTTAATAGGTACATATCAAGTATAATACCATGTATAAAATTTCAGATCACAATATGAAGCCATGTTACTGCTGAGACGGGCTGTGCAGCAGGTAATGTTCGCCACATCAAAAGAGCTAATGATTAAAATAGAGTAGTAACTAAAGGATAGAAAAATGGCATACTCAGCATCGTCGGAAATCAGACATTATTTTTTTCTTCTCATTTCAAAATTGTTTTTGTTGTTTTTTTATAATTTTGTCGGTAAGTGCAATAAAACAGAGAACAACAGGTAGGAGGCGAAAAGCGAAGCGTTCACGTGACTGCAGAACCGGAGCGAACGAATGAGAGAGAGGGAGAGAGAGGGAGAGACACACAGAGAGAGGAATGAAGCCAAGCTTACAGAAAAAGAGGAATCTACTAGAATTGCCTGCTGGCATGGAAATAAAAAAACCCCTGCTGTAGAGAGGATATAACCATTTTTAAACATTTTGCATCAAAAAAAAAAAGAATATTGAATCTTAAAAAGATGGAACATCACCACAAAAAAAACAAAAACAAAAACGAACGAACTAACGAGGGGCACAAACAGGCAGTAATCCACATGCTCTCTCCCTCAATTAACTGGACTGAGTTTGACTGGGCAGATGACACATAAGCAAACAGGTGAAGCAGAATAAGAGAGTTTGCCCTTTCTGACCCCACACTGGACACTGTGACCAAGGCAGCTATTCAAGAAGGTTCTCAGAGCAGGAATGCTGATCTAGGATCAGTTTCGTAGCCTCAACAGCACCGCGACGATGACATCATGGTCCTAGCAGGGCCCCATTACAGGAATTTTTCAACTTCAACACATTTCCCTGAACTTCGCAAAAGAACGCAGAAATTATGTTAAAATTTTGAAAAATCGTCTGTAAGTACAGGGAAGCGTGCTGAAAATATTGTTTATGGTAATCAACCATATCACTGCATCATATCTTCATTTTTGTCGTTTTTCAGTTTTTGACATAATTTGAAAATGCCTGTTGGTCTTTTCACTGTGTGTAAATTTTATGATGAATGGAGCAACATAAGTCCCCCAGACTCACTTTGAAAAAAAGTCTGGTTCCACTGACTTACATTAAAAGTAAGGTACGTTTTCTCTCCGCCTAAAAAGTTACCACTCTGGAGATACGAGGTTTTGTTCTGACAGCAGTGATATGCTGCAGATGTGGCAAGATATAAATCAGAGTAAAAAGAAAGAACCTTCCCGGTTCTTCGATTTGCTAGACGAAAAAGACTACCAGCAAATTAAACCATGGCAGCTGCGCTGCTCGTCCACGTGATATGGTCACAAAGGTGTGCCGTCACGTCAAACAAGTCAGTAATTCGAAACCTAGATCAACACTCTCCATCTGAGCACCTTTTTTGAATACAGGCCGCGCCTCGTACCCTAAAACACCACTCACTCTCTGCTCATACGCCACAGCACCCTAGAAGAGCCAGGAGGAAATACAATCTTCTGTAACTCAACACTTCTCAACCCTTTGGTAAGAAAGCGACAGAAAGAGCATCAGCCGGGTGTTATTATTGCTGGGCCAGATTACAGACGTCAATAAAAGTGCCCTAAAGTGTACCGCGATCCGCCCGAACGGCCCACTGCTGGATCTTGACCGAACACGTGTGAAGGCGAGCTGGCTGAGGAGCTCCTACAACAACGCTTAAACCTGTCCGACTGGTTTCAGACTGAATTTCAATGAGCAGGTTTAACAGCCGAATCACGTTCAGCTCTCTTCTGAAGTCACTGTGCAGAATTGGGAAATTTCAATCATCCAATCATTACATTCTGATATCTTCGCCTGAACAAATGAGGGCACCCTCGGAGACAATTTGTGTAGTGTTCTTTTTTAAGTGCCAATCGAGAAAAGGCTGCAATCAGCAGCAACTTCTGTACCGAAACAGGGGGCTTCCACTGAAGCCCTTTCCCACCAGGGAGAGAAGAACAAAATCACTCATGTTTTTTTCTCCTTCTCCATTTCTGGCAGCAGTATGTCAAACTTTTGGACTCTTGAATAGAATTTTCTTTTGCTAATATAACGGCTTATTTCTTGCAAAAAAAAATACTATCTCAAATTAATGACATTATTCTGAAATATTTACTTTGTTAAACAGTAAAAACTCGTTTTTTTTTCCTTCATGTTGGAATTTTGTCTTAATACCTCAAAATCTCAAGAAGTCAAAACTTCCATGGCATAATTTTGACTTAACAAGTCAAGTCTAGAAAAAAAGTCAAAACTCAGAAAAAGAAGTCGATATTTAGACTTAAGTCAGTCTTGGGAAAATAAGTCAAAAAATTTTAGAAAGTAAGTCGTTATTTTGACATAACTCAGTTTCGAGAAAATAAGTCAAAAATTGGAGATAATAAGTTGTTATTTTTCCTTAATAAGTCAGTCTTGAGAAAATTTGTTAAAACTTTGGGGGAAATAAGTTATTTTGACTTAAGTCAGTCTTGAGAAAAGAAGTCAAATATTTAAGAAAATAAGTCATTATTTTGACATAATAACTCAGTTTCGAGAAAATAAGTAAAAAATTTGGTAGAAGTAAGTTATTTTAACTTGAGTCAGCCTTGAGAAAATGTCAAAAATTTGAGAAAACAAGTTATGTTGACATAACTCAGTTTCGAGAAATTAACTAAAACAATGGAGAAAATAAGTCGTTATTTTTACTTAACAAGTCAGTCTTGAGAAAATAAGTCAAAACTTTGAGAAAATTAAGTCATTAATTTGACATAATAGCTCAGTTTCAAGAAAATAAATAAAAGATTTGAGGAAAAATTATTTTTACTTAATAAATCAGACTCCAGAAAATACGTCAGAACCGAGTGAAAATAAGTTGTTATTTTATGGAAGAGAAACTCTATAGATTTTCCAAAACTTCTGCAAAATTAAATGGTTGAAATGTAAACAAAGTTGTTCAGAGTGGTTTGCTGTGAAATCATCAGTCCTTCCAGAGTTAATACTGTGTCTGTATAGGAACCAAACGTCCTAAAAGTTTAATCCTTTAAAAATCTCCCTCACAGAATATTATTAGATTAGACAAAATGGTTATGAATATGTTACCTGATGCCTGAGATACTGTTTTATTAAAGTCCGAGATACAATTTTGGCATTTTTAAAAAATCCATTCATGGTGGAGGGATACATGCAAGACGTACCACAGTAAAATAGTCCCCAAAGAAAACTTATTATTTCAGATTTTCCACTATTTTCCATCATCAACATTCCATATAAACTCAGAAGACTCATGTAGGTTCACTGGTGGTTCTGGATAGTAAATAAAATGTCTATATTTGTGTTGTAGTCATGGCGACCCCTGGTTCCTATCACCACCACTGTAAAGACACCTGAACCATTTCACACCAAACCTCTCTGAATGATCTCAAACAGTGAATTATGCAGTTTTGAAAAATATGTGGAAAATGTCATTATTTTCAGATACTGAGTCAATATTTTGAGAAAATAACTAATCATTTTAGGATTATAAGTCTATATTTTATTGTTGTATTGTATTTTACAATATTTTGTCATTTTTTGACACACTGCTGCCACAAACGAGGCAGATTTCTTCCTCTACCTGGAGGGAATGGGTTTCATAAAATTAGCATGCCACATAAGTGTAGCAAAAAGACCTTTCACCACGGTTTTGGTGGTATTGGTCAGTAAAGCCAGGTCTTGGCCTTTAAAGGGACAACTTATCCAAACCCTACTAACCAAGCAACAACGTCCGCAAGCTAACACTGTCAGTGATTAGCATGCTAAATGCTAACACTGGTGCTCATTCCTTGCTGTTAGCTCAGCCGAGTTTGGTTATCCGAGGCTCTTTAATGTAGCTTCAGCACCTGGCGGTATGGCAGACTTCCATATTCGACTTTGGGTATTCTCACCAGGGTTAGCAACTGTTAGCATATCATTAGCATTAGCATTAGCATCAGGTCCATCCTTTCCAGATCCATTGCTTTAAAAGGGCTGGAGGCGTTCCCAGCTCCTGTGAACAGTGTGTGGGGTTCTCCTGATGACGCGAGGGCGGGGACACACACATACACACACAGCCAGCAGACGTCCACTATCCATGGGGTCACTGTCATTGTCCTGGGATACAAGTGTCAGGCTGGTGTTGATGTGGGGGTCCGTCTAGATGGAGGGTGTGTGCTTTGTGTGAGTGTGTGTCAGTGGTTTCTGTGTTGAGTGTTTGGGTTAGTGCATTGTGTGTGCGGTGTGTGCGCGTGTGCGTAAGAATGCCTGTTGACCGTAAGTGCCACTGAACTGCGCTGGATGGAGATTTCTGTCCGTTATCTGCTCCGCTGCCTCATCGGCCCTTGCTGTAGCCTGGAAAGAACTGATCCAGGAGCTGCTGGAGGTTCTTGTTGAGGGTCATGACATAGTCTTTGCCCAGATCGTGGCGACAGGCCGGGCACGTGTACACCTCCGCTCGGAACGACCTCTGCAGACAGGTCTGGGGTCAGGAGAGAAACAGCGTGGACAACATTGAGAGGTTATTCAACTGGACTGTGTATCTTCAATCTCACAACGACTGTTTAGGAAATGAATCAATACATCATGAAATCTCACATTTCACTGTGATTCAATTTGATTCTTTTGGCCCAATTCAATAAGTTTATAGTAGTTACTGAATCATTTATAGTAGATGCTGAATAATTCACAATACATACTGAATCATTCATATCAGATACTGAATTTACAGTAATTACTGAAAAATTTATGGTAGTTACTACATAATTCATAGTAGTTACTGAATAATTCATTATATATATATATATCGAATGTCACAATACTTGCTGAATATGTCATAGTAAATACTTAATCATTTATATTATATACTGAATGTACAATAATTGCTGAATAATTTATAGCATACATTGAATAATTCACATCACTTACTGAATAATTTATAGTGGCTAAATTACAGCACACAAAGAAATACTTAGTTACTAAGTATTAACTAAATAATTAATAGTAGATACAGAATATTTCATAGTAGTTACTGAATAATTAAGTGTTACTTAATATTTCATTGTAGTTACTGAATAATTCATTGTAGTTACTGAATAATTCATAGTAGTTACTAAATATTTCATAGTAAATACTGAATAATTTGTAGTAGATATTATATAATTCATAGTATTCATAGTAATTCATAGTTACTAAATAATTAATAGTAGACAATGAATAATACATGTTAGATATGGAACAATTCATAGCAGATGCTTAATAATTTGTGTTAGATACCAAATTATTCATAGTAGTTACTGAATATTTCATAGTACATACTGAATAATTTATAGTAGATACCAAATATTTCCTAGTAATTACTGAATAATTCATAGTAGATACTGAATAATTCAAAGTAGATACTGAATAATTCATAGTAGATACTGAATAATTCATAGTAGATATTTTATAATTCATAGTAGATATTCTGCAGTGTGTTGTACGGCTGAACGGTAAGATGAAAGCTTCATATTCAAACACGCACACACACACACACATACACACACACACACACACACACACATGCACACACACACGCACACACACACACACATACACACACACACACACACACACATGCACACACACACACATACACACACACGCACACACACACGCACACACACACACACATACACACACACACACACACACACACACACACTCACACACATACACACACACACACACACACACGCACACACACGCACACACACACACACATACACACACACACTCACACACACACACACACACACCTTGCAGACGTTGTGCTGGCAGGCGGTGGTGATGGGCTGGAAGGCGAGCTCCTGGCAGCACACACACATGAAGATCTGCTCCACTTTACGCAAGAAGTTCTGCAGGACAACAGGAAGTGATGCGTGACTGTCACCAAGGAAACAGTAAGATAGGCACAGCACGAGTCGGTCTGTAGAGGCGCTCGGCTCGCAGCGTGGAAATTACAGAGCATTATAAACTAACAGTGGTGCTGAGATCACAGCAACGACTCTGAATCAGGAACAGCGGCCAGCGGACTGACTCAGACACACAGACTCACAGAGACCACCTTCATTAAAACAGCTGAGACTTCAGTCACAGCTGTATCACTTTTAAGGACAGTGTGTGTTTATTCGTGTGTTTGAGTGTGTGAATGTTTACAGTTTGGATCAAAGTTTGAAGGGGAAAATCTAATTTACCCTAATTTACCTAATTTACCCTTGAATCACTTGAATCCTGATTTATAGCATTAGTTTGAGCATCTACAGTTTGGTTTATTTGGTTAAATTGGACCTAAGATTTGTTCCATTTTAAAAGCAGCGCATTTCATCACAGCAATATATCTGCAAAATAAGCTTCATCTGAATGTTTTTATTACTGTCAATAATTCAATAATATATTTTTTTCATGATGTGAATGCAGGGTGAACAAGAAAATGAGATAACTGCACTTTCTATGAAGTTGGCTTCTTATTTGAATTTGCAGTTCCACCTTAACCCTCTATTGCATGATGTTGCCTGAGGGCAACAAACTCATTTTCCACACTTTGCAATAACGTTATACATATTTAAAGACAACAACAGGGTTAACAATAAAGGGAAGAGTTTGTCAATAAACAGCAGGTACTTGGTCAAACTCTCTCTTAGTGGGCGCATTTAAACCTCATCTTTAACGTTCAGTATTGATTTTCTTTGTTATGAGAATTTGCAGACATGTTTGTTGCCTAGAACCAACGTGTGTGACAGGGAAATGGATTTAGCCACTCACAAGCCAGGTCTCATCACTTTGGGGAACACGGCTCTATATGATTTCTTCCCATTATCGCACAATGTTACCTCAAGCAACATACTCCAAAAGGACCCATGCACACATTATTATTATTACTTTATGATTTTTAATTTAATAATCGGGCCAATCAAAGACAATTTTATGCAAGAAAAGTGAATTCAACATTTTTTTTTTTAATTGCTCTCATAATGCGTGCGGTAGAGGGTTAAGCAGTACCGTAGTTACTGTAACTGCTGCACCATTTAAGGTGGAGCAGCAAAATTTAATAAGAACCTGGCGAATAGGAAACTTCGCCTTCAGGGAACGACTGATACAGATACTGATACAGTGTCAGAAGCCGTAAGTCTATTAGAGATGACCAACCAACATGGTCTGAGGTGAGTGTGAGATGATTTAGGCATGCAGTTAGCACCATGCTAACTGGTGGGGTATATGCTGCTATTATTTGCCAGCTTCATTAGCATCCAGTGTAAAATTAAAGAAGCAAACTTGAAACAATAAACATCTTGGCTGAATGACTACATTTGGAGTGAGTGTGTGTGTGTGTGTGTGTGTGTGTGTGTGTGTGTGTGTGTGTGTGTGTGAGTGTGTGTGTGAGTGTGAGTGTGTGTGTTAGTACCGGTCCCTCAATGAGGAAGCCCAGAGCCTCGTCCCAGAGTTTCTTGTTGGCTTGGTCCTGCTGTATGAGGGAGCGCTGCTGCTCAGACAACACGAACGCCTCCACCTCCTTCAGCCGCTTCGATTTGGGCTCATCCTGCTCATCACACTCTGAACACACACACACACACACACACACACACACACACACACACACACACACACGATTTATTAATAATGTTTAGATTTGACCACTCTGGTTCAGTGCATCATTAAATCTCAGAATACACTGAGTACACAAACATAACTGTTCATGTTTGCTAAAATGCAGCTAAAATGTTGCTAAGTGGATGCTGCAGTATCCAAGGTGGATGGAAATGCATTGCTAGGTGCTACCGTAAATGAAGTTCCACCTTAAATTCTGTACTGTGTGTGAGTGTGTGTGTGAGAGATGTCCATTGTGACATCAAGTGTGACAGCTAGTTTGAAAGTCCCAAACATTCTGCCCATTCATTTCCTAAGGGAAAAAAATATCGTCTTTGAACGCTAATTTTACGAAAACCGTATATCGGATCGCTTAGAAGCACAAGCAACCTAATCTGGTATAGGACCTACGATCCTGCAAAGTTTTAAGGTTCTAGCTCGAAAACTGTGGGACGAAAAACATTTTATATTTTGAGCGTAGAATAATAATATGAAGATTATGAAGAACAGTAATAATTAATAATGTGTCCTGTGTGTATTATGTAAACACCTTTGTCTTTTGGCGTTTCTTGGTCGCCATTACTGTGCACCTCCTCGTCCTTGTTCACTGCGTCCTTCTCTTCTTGCTCCTCCTCCTCCTCCTCCTCCTCCTCCTCTTCCTTCACTCTTTTTGCTGGCCGGCCAGTTTTCGGTCGCCCCCGGCCTCCGTGTCTCTTACCCCGCGACGGCCCACCTCGTGTCCCCCTCACACTCGCCTCCTTCTTACTCTTATTCGCCATGGCTTCCAGATAGCCAGGAGGGTACTGAGAGAGAGAGAGAGAGAGAGAGAGAGAGAGAGAGAGAGAGAGAGAGAGACAACAGACTTACAGGTGTTAATGCTCAACTAACTCTAACTGGCCACTTTATTAGAAACACCCACCTTGTGCTTCCAATAACTGGCCACTTTATTAGAAACACCTACCTTGTGCTTCAATTGAGTGGCCACTTTATTAGAAACATCCACCTTGTGCTTTTACTCGCTGGCCACTTTATTAGAAACACCCACCTTGTGCTTCCATTAACTGGCCACTTTATTAGAAACACCTACCTTGTGCTTCAGTTGACTGGCCACTTTATTAGAAATGCCAACTCTGTACTCTGTGTATAGATGTGTGTGTGTGTGTGTATTTATATGTCTATATGTGTGTGGGTGTGTGTGCCTGTGTCTGTGTGTGTGTGTGTGTGTGTGTGTCCTCACCTGCACCTTCAGGCCGAGTTTCTTGCTGCGCTCAATTCCTTCAGGCGTCCACGGCGCTGGCTCCACGTCATCACGCCTCAGCAGGTAACGCCACACCAGGAAACCACACTTACCGATCTCAGGCCAGTACTTCACCACCTGCAGGATGGAGAAACGTCAGAATCTTTACTCTTTAGGTAGCCTCTTCCCTCAGCGCCCCTTAACTGCTGCACCTTTTAAGGTGGAACAGGAAAATTCGAGCAAGAAACTGAGGCGCCGAATGTAGTCTTAACTGCCGCACCTTTTAAGGTGGAACGGGAAAATTCGAGCAAGAAGGAGCACTGAAGGGAGGAGTGTATGTGTTTTGCTGTCTTCACCTTCAGCAGGACTAACTGACCAGTTCCTAATGATCTGAGAGTTCTGCTCGGCTCATATCGCTGCAGCGTCGGCCCTTTTGAATAGCTTCATTTTTTTTTAACACCGAGAAGTATTTCTAAACCGAGACTCAGAAGGCAGCACATCCTCCTCTGGGCATCACCGGATACCAAAACAACTTAGTTATTCAAAGCAGAGAGATCGATTTCCTCAGACAGTTGTGTGCAGGTGTGTTGAGACTCAGAGACGGAGAAAACAGCATGAATGGTTTTGTTCCTCAGCTGCTTTTCGCTTTGAGTCACCGCAAAGCCAGAGAGGAAGAGGCAATGAACACAACAGCGTAAAACGACCTCACGTCACACCTGAACCCACTGACCTCGCCTGCTCCACCAACGGCATGGCAGTATCTGATTACCACTCAGATACATCACAAAATCACTCCTTAGATCACAGATATGCTGTACGATGTTTAAAGCAGGGTTTCAAGTCTTTAGCAGAGATGTTCACAAGTCATTGCACCAAAGTTTGCTTTGAAGGCCATCACGGTGACCACACGCCTCTCTCTTTGAACGGGGAGAGGCCAACAAACCCCAAACACAAAGCCACATTAATGTTTCCAAAACACATGAGAAATCATTGGTTAAAACCACACAGAAACAGCACGATTTGTTTGCAGCGTTCGGCTCAAATAACGCACAAAAACTTCCTTTTTCAGCTTGTTCTGGCTACTGCACGAAGGATGGGACTTTCCCCGTAAACAGACGCCATGTGGAGTGACTTTCTCCTTCTTTATAATGTCTAAGAAATAAACAAAACTGAAAAAAAAAATTCTACAATTCAGATGATAAAGATATCACGATATAAAAAAAGGGAAAAAAAAAGATAATAGTAATAATAACAATAAAAACATTGCAAGATAATTATTTTTTTTATTAGTAGTACTATTATTCTTGCTACTGTTGCCATCATTATTATTATTATTACTGTTATTATTATTATTGCAGTAATAGCAGCAACTAAAATGTATTTGTCATTGTGTAAACACTGCCAAACACTCTAGTAGCTTCACTGCAGGAGCATGGAGGTGCAGTGGGTAGTGCTGTTGCCTCACAGCAAGAAGGGTCTGGGTTTGATTCCCTGGCCGGGTAACCAGCGTCCTTTTCTGGGTCAGGTTTCCTCCCACAGTCCAAAGACATGCAATCAGGCTGATTGGAGATGCTAAATTGCCCCTGGGTGAGTGTGTGAATGTATGTGTCTGTCTGTCTGCCCTGTGATGGACTGGCGACCTGTCCAGGGTGTTTCCTGCCTTCCACCTAATGAGTGCTGGGATAGACTCCGCCACTCCCCGCGACCCAGGAGGATAATCGGCTTATATAATGTGTGTGATATTTAACAAAGACAGCTCACTATTCCAGTTTATCACATTAAGTATTCTTCTTCAGCGTGCTGAACAGTTTCCTCCTCAACCAGGCTTCAAACAATCTCCCAATCACAGGCCAACATGATGTCCAGGGCAAAGAAATGTACGTCTAATTTTCTGAATTATATTTTTATTGAACAAAGCGACAGATTTGACTGTTTATTCATTTGGTAAACATGTGTTTGTAGAACTTGCTGCTCAGCTCAGCAGCACAAACACTGTGTGTGTGAATGACCAGCGTGTCTGAGCTGCGGCTGAAATCGACCCAAAATGTGTCCAAGCATAAACGTCTGAAACGGGGTGTGAAAACACAACATATTCATTAAAATACACTCTTAAAAAAAGATGGTTCTTCAAGGGTTCTTTAGTAAGGTCAATGGGTCTGTATAGAACCATGACCACTCAAAGAACCCTTTGCATGATTGAAGGGTTCACTGCATTATGAAAGGGTCCTTCAGATTGATGGAGAATGTGCAGTAGATGGTTCTATACAGGACCTTGTTATAAGCTTCACATCATAAAAACTGAAGAGCGCTTTGTGGTGCTATACAGAACCCGTTTCAAAAGGATTCAATACAGAACCATCTACAGCATGTTCTCCATCAGTTTGAAGAGATGGTTTGGTGTGAAATGGTTCAGATGTCTTTACAGTGGTGGTGATAGGAACCAGGGGTCGCCATGACTACAACACAGATATAGACATTTTATTTACCATCCAGAACCACCAGTGAACCTACACGAGTCTTCTGAGTTCATATGGAATGTTGATGATGGAAAATAGTGGAAAATCTGAAATAATAAGTTTTCTTTGGGGACTATTTTGCCTCACAGCGCCCTGCATGTATCCCTCCACCATGAATGGAGTTTAAGTTCTCTAAACTATCATAAAACAGTGTCTCAGTCATCAGGCAGTGAATTCATAACCATTTCATGTAGGAACTTTCTGTGAGGGAGCTTTTAGAGGGGGACGTCTGGTTCCTATCACCACCACTGTGAACAGTTCTGACTCGGTAAGTCACATCAGGCCACTCAGAGTTCCCGTTTAAACTAGTTGTACAGTAAATGTGAGTGCACAGCCACTATTCAAAGCCAAGAGAATGAGCACAGCTCTTTGTGCATGAGAGAGCAGCTGAAATTTGAAACTAGGACATTCAAGACACCATCAAATGATTGTTTTTAAAAACACAGTCTGAAAAAACTGCGCTGTGTGTGTATAAATATAAATATTAGACTTGGTATCAGCAGGTACTCAAAATTAGTGCACTTATCAGTATAAAAAATGGTTCAGGGTGTTTCGGTCAGTCATAAGATAAAAATACAAATCTTCTAGTATTTTTTAACACAACGAGTCTGTGAGGCTTAGGCTGCCTCCAAAACCCCAACCAACAATAACTGCAGTTTGCGGTACAGGAGCTGTTTAGTCTCCATGACGACTTCAGTCTGGACTGAATTTCGGACAGTATCTATTACAGAATAACAGTTCCTACCTTCATAATCTCATCATGAACTCCAGATAAGAAAACAGCATCACACAAACATCCTAACTAGACTAAACCTCCTAAATCCTGTCCTAACTTTAGGATGAACCCCAACAGGGTCCTCACTTCTGTTTAAGGTCTGTTTCTATGGTTTTTAGGCAGCTGAGTCAGCAGCATAGTTCACTACCAGCATAATGAGCTCCATTTATCTCTACTGTAAAACGCTGCTTTCACTGTGAGATGATTTTCTTTTCTAACTCTGCGTTTTAAAGATCTCAGACGCTGCAGACTCGATCTCCACCGCCCCTCTGATCACCTTCGTGTGTTAATGTTGATGATGAAATATTACAGTGATGGTGGTGAATAATGAGGAGACGGAGCTGAACGTGTGTCTGTTTATTAGGAGGAGTAACGTTAGCGCGCTCGGCTGAAGCGTTTGGGAAATGGAGACTGAAACTGGGGAGCGACGCTCTGATAAACAGCAGGGGGCGCTCTCACAGTATTCACTACTTAACTCTTTAGTTTTGACCTTCTTTACATTAGTAACAGCAGCTGAGACTCACATTTTAACATTTTGATGACTCATTTACGTTTCAGCTGTGTGTTTATGATCGGTTGCTAGGTAACAGACATGACAGCTAAATTAAGATCAGATTTGCTTCGTATGTTACTAAACAAAAGCATACAAGTCAGTGGAACTGAGTGAGCTGTCAGATTTACTTCAAGAGTTTGTTTGCTCAGTGTAATCTTGCTGAGTATAACTCACCATTTTTCCCACTGGCTTGTGGGATCCAGTATTTGCATATAGTTTTGCATGTTTTACTCTCCCTCTTTGTGTCTTTCCCCCAGCCTTAGCTTCCACTGTGTGTGCATCTTTCTTATTCTCCACATTTAACTGCCTTGCCTACACTACTGTTGGCTGTAAGTGCAGGTTTCCATGTTACCTACTGCTGATCTTAAAGGAGAACTTCACTGATTTTTCAAAAATTCTACATAATTAAGTGGTTAAGATGTAATCAGAGCGGTTCAGAGTGGTTTGGTGTGAAACGCTCTGTTCTAGATAAACTTACCGAGTCAGAACTGTTCACAGTGGTGGTGATAGGAACCAGACGTCCACCTCTAAAAGCTCCCTCACAGAAAGTTCCTACATGAAATGGTTATGAATTCACTGCCTGATGACTGAGACACTGTTTTATGATGGTTTAGAGAACTTAAACTCCATTCATGGTGGAGGGATACATGCAGGGCGCTGTGAGGCAAAATAGTCCCCAAAGAAAACTTATTATTCCAGATTTTCCACTATTTTCCATCATCAACATTCCATATAAACTCAGAAGACTCTTGTAGGTTCACTGGTGGTTCTGGATAGTAAATAAAATGTCTATATTTGTGTTGTAGTCATGGTGACCCCTGGTTCCTATCACCACCACTGTAAAGACATCTGAACCATTTCACACCAAACCGCTCTGAATCTCTCTGTTTGTTTATATCTCACACACTGAGTTATGTGCAACATTTGAAAAATCTGTGGAATTTTATTATATTGGCTTTAACCAATATAATACCAGGAAGTTTTTTTTACTTTCTACATTAAAACAGGTCCACACTGCAGACATTTAGATGTTCTGTAAACACACCTTCCTGCTGCAGGCTGTGGATAATGTCTGTTTATGTCACCTCTATGACAGCGGCATAAATAAAAAACTGAAGTAAAAAGGATCGGTACTAGAAAGGACTTAATACAGCCGACTTCAATCCATGAAATTATTCCTCAGCTCTGATCCCAACCTTTTACATCAGGACTTTCCCTAAAGTATCGTTGAGCAACCACCGTGGTAACCATGGAGACACAGTGCTCAAAATGATAGTCTCTCTATCATTTAAGTAGGTTAGCTGATCAACAATGCTTTTGGGAAAGACACCCCTGATCGGGACGTCCCTCGTGTGTGTTCTGTTACCTTATAAATCCCGTCGTAGCGGTTGCCCTCCTCCGGAGCGTACTTGCTGATTCGCCGGCCCTTCGAGCTCCGGATCACTCTCACTGGTTTTCCCGCCCGCCAATTCCGAGACTCCGCCCCGTCCTTATCATTCAGAGGGGCGTCACAGTTCAGCGCCAGAGCCCTGAGGTCAAACAATGACAAGACAGTATAGTATAAACTAAAAAAAGACAGCTGCTTGTTTTTTGTTTTGGTTTCCTACACCCTTATAATGAACATATGTACAAATACAAATAGGGACTGATAGAATACCTAACTTAAATAAATAAATAAATAAATAATAATATATATATATATATATATATATATATATATATATATATATATATATATATATATATGCACATACACATACCCATATGGTTATACATACACAGATATATATACACGTTTTTATATGTGTGTGTATATATATACATATATATATATACACACACACACACACACACATTATACATATACATATATAAACATTACATATATATATATATATATATATATACATACATACATATATATATATAATTAACTCCATTATAGTATCATAAATACACCAATTCTAGATGACACTGACTATTCTTAACTCTGTAAGGAGGGTCTAATTTTAAAGGGACAGTTTGTGTACATGCCTACTTCATCACTAGCCTTGAACCGTGTTGAGTTGCTACGTTTTTTGTAAATGAACACTCATTTTGAAATTGTCGCCTTTACAATGTGTCAAAAAAGTCAAGACAGGAACAATTTAAGACTAGAAACATTGTGAAAAGTTCAAAATACGTCTTATACAAATGATGCAAAAGGAGCATCCAGGAAAGGCTGAGTCTTTTATGAGTGCCATTAAAAAAAACAACAGTTTAAGAGCGTTCACCCTTTATACTACATATCATCATCAAAACATTCAGGGAACCCGGAGAACTCTCTGTGCGTAAAGGAAAAGGCCGAAAACTGTGACCTTCAATCCCAGCGTATATTTACAAAACAAGTAGTGTATAAAGTACATTAAATATCATGTTTACATTGAATTTAATACCGGTCAAACAGAATCTACTAATCACTACTTTCTGTTTTTATCAGCATTTCAGACACGGCACCAACTTTTTTGGAATTGAGGTTTATAGACAACAGTATGTCACACTAGTGATGCACTGATACCTTTTTTTTTTTTTAGAGTACAAGTACATATTTTTTAGTACACGATACCGAGTCCAATACCACACTGAGTAACCTACTTGAGTGCAATGTACCTCAACAGTTAAATCATTAAATCTATCTGATGTTAATGAAGGTCGTTATCTAGCTCTGCTACATCAGTGATCTCTGACTGAGCAGCGCTGCAGTGGAGGTTTAGTTCCCTGTCAGAAAAGCTCTTCTGCACAGCTGTAAGTAAAGTAGGTTTCATAGTTTTGTTCCTTATCTCTTTCAGCAGCAGCACAGCGACAGCAGGAATCACATCTGAGGCTAACACATCCAAGGAGCTCACGCTTCCAGTTTTCTGTCTTGTTGGAGTCGTTTGATTGGCTGGTTGAGCTGTAGCTGAATGTCCTCTAAAGCCAGACAGACACTGTGTGATGTTAGAGATCTTGTTCTTTGGTGACTCTCACTGTCCGTTTAATAGACCATCGTGTTCAGACAAAGCTACGATTTATAAACTCACACTGTACGAAACGCTCCGTCTGACTGACCTGCTACGGGAAACGCAGCCTCTACAGACGCTCTGTCTACAGACCGTTATCAATAAAGCTGATTCACTCAGAATAACATGCAGCTAAATACACTGAACTGAAATATAAAATCAGTCTTTTTACAGCCTATTTTACAAATACAATCACCATAACAACGTTTATACCTCACTATCTTATTCAGTCAAACAGAGTGAAGTTGCATATACGAAGCAAATCCCGACTTTTTTGCCTCCGTTTTGTTGGCCTACATGTCTCCACTCATGTTGGTGAAGCTGTTGTGTTTGTGTGTTTAATCACAAAGTGTATTCCTGGTGGGAATCTGCCAAGGCCGAGTGTTTGAAGTGACCGGTGGCTTTGTGTCCGACTGTCACAGCAGCACTTCACTATGAGAGCAGAGCCTCTTTCACTGTCAGCTTGGGTCGTTTGCTCATTAGTGCAGCAACTACACGGTATCAGCTAGGACCAGTGCATTTTTATGAGTACACTCTTTAAAAAGATGGTTCTTCAAGGGTTCTTTAGTAAAGAAAATGGTTCTATATAGAATGCTATACACTCAGTGAACCCTTTGCCTGTTTGAAGAAATGTTTCATAAAATGGTTCTTCAGACTGACGGAGAATGTGCTGTATATGGTTCTACATAGCACCTAAAAGGGTCCTGCTATGTTACAATATTAAGCTTGTTATAATGAAGGAAGCCTTTTTGTTGCTATATAGAACCCTTTTCAAAAAGGTTCTATATAGAACCATCTACAACACACTATCTATCAATCTGAAGAACCATTTCACCATGCAAAGAAGCTTTTAAACATGCAAAGTGTTTGAGTGTTCATGGTTCTACATAAAACCATTTTCTTCACTAAAGAACCTTTGAAGAGCCGTCTTTTTTAAGGGTGTACAAGTAAATGTGCACAGTATTGTGCACAACGTGATCCCAGTATCGGTAATGATGCATCTCTATGTCACACAGTTTCAGAAACCACCTAAGCGAGTAGAGGAGAGTAATATGATGATACTGATCGTTACAGTGATAATATATCACTGTAACGATCAGTATCATCATATTACTCTCCTCTATGATTTATGAATGCAGTTAGCACCATGGGGCACACGCACCCATTACCTGTACCCGCATTAGCTTTGTAGCTTCTGTGCTAAACTAACATCAGGCACTAAACCCGGCTGGCTAATCAACAATATTTGGGGTAAGTACAGCACCTGTTCATGTGTGTGAGCGTCTGGTCGAACGAGTGCTCTCCGATCCGTTTGTTTCCCGAGAGGTCGCGACCTCCGCTGCCCGTGTATGTGAACTCATCTCCCCTGTCCTGAAAAGGTCAAAGATCACAGCATTAGGTTCAGGTCAGCATGTGGTCATTGGCTCTAAAAAAAGGGTAATGTTATTAGAGAGGGAAAAAAACATTCTTCATCTTAAAACGCAATAATGAGAATTTATTACGAGTAATCTATCGCAGCGTTCATCGTGAAATGTTTTCACCATGATAAAATAATTTCACAGTGATCTGACAGTGATTACATGTTAGTTAGCAGAGCTGGTCCTGGATAAGCGGTCAGGAAAGGGTCCTGAAACCTTTTACAAAAAATTACAAAATTCACGCTTGTGTCTCTCAAAACGAGCAATCAAAATTTAATCTAACCTCAAAAACTCCTCGTCTGCTCCCTCCAAACCAGGAGAAGAATTTTAGACACGGACAGACAGAGAAAAAAGGAAGGGGAGGAGAGAGAAAAAAAAACAGAGAAAATGAGAGAGAAGGGAGCAAAAACAAAAAAGGCAAAAAAAAGAAAAAGAAAGAAAGAAAAAGAAATGAGCAACAGAAAGAGGAGATAGAGAGAAAAATCAAGAAAGAGAGGGAGAAAGAAAGTGTGGAAAGAGAGATGGAGAGGCAGAGAGAGTGTGGAGAGAGAGAAAGAGAGAGAGAGAGAAAAAGATAGAGATAGAGTGACTAAAAGAAAGAAGAGGAGAGAAAACGAGATAGAGAAGGGGTGAAAATGAGAAAATTGAGAAAGAAAGAGAAAGGAAAGAAAAGAGAGTGAGAAATGACAAACAGAAGAGAGAGAAAAAGATTGAGAGAGAAAGAGAGAGAGAGGAGGAGAGTAAAAGAGGTAGAGTAGGAGGCAAAAACGAGAAAGGTGAGAAGAAAAAAAAGCGTGAAAAATGAAAGGAGAAAGAAATTAAAACCCTACTGACCTCCACCTCCCATCCTGGTACCCTACTGACCTCCACCTCCCATACTGACCTCCCATTTCCCCACCCTGTAACCCCACTCTACTGACCCCGACCATCCATAACCCCACCCTACAGACCTTGACCCCCATATCCCCATCCTTCCAATCTGAACCCACATACCCCAACTCTACTAACCTCGACCCCATATCCCAATCCTACTGACCCAACCCCATACCTTGAACCTACTGACCCAATCCCCCGTACCCCACCTCTACTGAACCCGACCTATACCCCACCCTACTGACGCTGACCCTACTGACCCCGACCCCCCGTACTCCACCTCTACTGTACCCAACCTGTACCCCCGACGCTTCTAACGCCCATCCTACTGACCCTGACCCTACTGACTCCGACCCTGACCCCGACCCATACTGATGCCCACCTACCTTTGCCTGACCCTACTGACCCCGACCCTACTGACCCTGACCTTTACTGATGCCCACCCTACTGACCCTGATCCTTACTGATGCCCACTCTACTGACCCTGATCCTTACTGATGCCCACCCTACTGAACCCGACCCTTACTGATGCCCACCTTACTGACCCTGATCCTTACTGATGCCCACCCTACTGAACCCGACCCTTACTGATGCCCACCTTACTGACCCTGATCCTTACTGATGCCCACCCTACTGAACCCGCCACCTTACTGATGCCCACCCTACTAATGCCCACCTTACTGAGCCTGACCCTACCGACCCTGACCCTACTGATGTCCATCCTACTGCACCCCACCCTACTGAACCTGACCCCTACTGACCCTGATCCTTACTGATGCCCACCCTACAGCCCCTGACCCTACTGAACCTGCCCCTTACTGATGCCCACCCTACAGAACCTGCTCCTTACTGATGCCCACCCTACTGAACCCGCCCTTTACTGATGCCCACCCTACTGAACCTGCCCTTTACTGATGCCCACCCTACTGAACCCGCCCCTTACTGATGCCCACCCTACTGCCTCCGACCCTACTGAACCTGCCCCTTACTGATGCCCACCCTACTGCCTCCGACCCTACTGAACCCGCCCCTTACTGATGCCCACCCTACAGAACCTGCTCCTTACTGATGCCCACCCTACTGATTCCTACCCTACTGTACCCACCCCTTACTGATGCCCACCCTTACTGACACCCACCTTACTAAACCTAACCCTTACTGAAGCCCTCCCTACTGACCCTGACCCTACTCATGCCCACTCTACTGAGCGCGACCTTTACTGACGCCCACCCTGACCCCGAACCGATGCCCACCCGACTGAGCCTGACCCTACCCTTGTTATTTTCTTTGTTGTGTTAGGGCTACTTTTGTAATGCTTTGGCAGTACTGTACTTCACATACTCACACTAATACAGAGAGAGAGAGAGAGAGAGAGAGAGAGAGAGGACACAATAAAGAGAAAGAAAGAGAGAGAAGGAATTAAAAAAGAGAAAGGTGAGAGAAATAGAAGAGCAATAGAAAAAAATTTGAAGGAGAGAGGGAAAAGAAATCATACAGAGGAGAGAGAACGGCATTAAGAGACAGAGTATATAGAGAGAGACAGAGACAGAGAGAGAGGGGTAAGATAGACAGAAACAAAGAGAGAAGAGAGACAGAAAAGGAGAGAGGAGACAGAAAAAAGAGAGAGAGGAACAGAAAATAAGAAGTGAAAGACAGAGAAAGAAACAAGAAGAAAGAAAGAAAGAAAGAAACAGAGAAAAAAGACTGCAGTACTCGGTGGAAAAAAGAGCAGACTGTCTAGTTTATTTATACACTGGAACTGTTACAATAGCAACCGGCCAATCAGAGAGAGGGAGAGAGAGAGAGAGAGAGAAAGAGAGAGAGACAGAGAGAGAGAGAGAGAGAAAGAGAGAGAGAGAGAGAGAGAGAGAGAGAGAGAGAAAGAGAGAGAGAGAAAGAGAGAGAGAGAGAGAGAGAGAGAGAGAGAGAGAGGTCTGTGAAGAGGTAATGTTGTGTGATGTAAAATACTCTCCGAACGCTGAATGCTAACACCCACCACTTCGTCCTCGAAGCCGCCGGCCAGCACCAGCGAGTAGGAGCCGTCGTTACTGCGGCCGTGGATTCCGCCCACATGAGGCCGGTGAACACCAGCTTCGCTCACCTACAGAACCAGCAACAAACAAACAAACACACAAACACACACTTTTACAACAGTGCTTTTGGCATTAGTACATCACCCATAGTGACTTACAGAACAGCTCTGCTGTCTCATCGCGTCCTTCTCCTCACTGTTATATCCAAACCTCATAACCTCATTTTTTAATTTTCATTAATTTTATTCATTTTATTTACACATTTACATTCATATGCAAAGGTTTGCGCACCCCTGGTCAACACACGTCTATTTTATTGCACAATTACTGTTTATTTGCTGAATTCAACACACTAGGAAAAGGATAAAACATTACAATTTTGGCTATAAATTCAGCACATAAACAGAAACTGATCACTAACATTCAAAGAAAAATGTCAAATATAAGTGTGTTCTCTGTGTGTGGACTTTTCTTCACTTAGAAAATCAACATAATATGTAATTTGGCCAGGGTCTTCAAACTTGTGACTACAACTGTATATTTCTATTTATTTTTTAAAAATATTTCTTTGTTAATTTTTATTTTTAATTATTTTATTACATAAATAATATTGTCCTATAAAACTTGTGTTGTTACGGACAAATTGGTAAACGTGCTGTAAAGGACGTGTTGTTAAGGATGCGTTATTTATAATGTGTTAAAGACAAGTTAAAGACGTGTTGTTAAGGACGCCTTGTTGTTATACACGTTGAGGACTGCACTGTTATTAATGGCGTGTTAGGGATGTGTTGTTAAGGACGTGTTGTTAAGGATGTGTTGTTAAGGACACGTTGCTAAGGACACATTGTTAAGGATGTGTTGTTAAGGACGTGTTGTTAAGGACTGCACTGTTGAGGATGCGTTGTTAAGGACACGTTTTTAAGGATGTGTTGTTAAGGATGCGTTGTTAAGAATGTGTTGTTAAGGATGTGTTGTTAAGGATGTATTGTTAAGAATGTGTTGTTAAGGATGTGTTGTTAAGGACGTGTTGTTAAGGACTGCACTGTTGAGGATGCGTTGTTAAGGACACGTTTTTAAGGATGTGTTGTTAAGGACGTGTTGTTAAGGACTGCACTGTTGAGGATGCGTTGTTAAGGACACGTTTTTAAGGATGTGTTGTTAAGGACGTGTTGTTAAGGACTGCACTGTTGAGGATGCGTTGTTAAGGACACGTTTTTAAGGATGTGTTGTTAAGGACGTGTTGTTAAGGACTGCACTGTTGAGGATGCGTTGTTAAGGACACGTTTTTAAGGATGTGTTGTTAAGGATGTGTTGTTAAGGATGCGTTATTAAGGACGTGTTAAGGATGCGTTGTTAAGGACTGCACTGTTGAAGATGCGTTATTAAGGATGCGTTATTAAGGACGTGTTAAGGATGCGTTGTTAAGGATGCGTTGTTAAGGACGTGTTAAGGATGTGTTGTTAAGGACTGCACTGTTGAAGATGCGTTATTAAGGATGCGTTATTAAGGACGTGTTAAGGATGCGTTGTTAAGGACTGCACTGTTGAAGATGCGTTATTAAGGATGCGTTATTAAGGACGTGTTAAGGATGCGTTGTTAAGGATGCGTTGTTAAGGACGTGTTAAGGATGTGTTGTTAAGGATGTGTTGTTAAGGATGCGTTGTTAAGGACGTGTTAAGGATGTGTTGTTAAGGACGTGTTGTTAAGGATGCGTTGTTAAGGACGTGTTAAGGATGCGTTGTTAAGGACGTGTTGTTAAGGATGCGTTGTTAAGGACGTGTTAAGGATGTGTTGTTAAGGACGCGTTGTTAAGGATGCGTTGTTAAGGACGTGTTAAGGATGCGTTGTTAAGGACGTGTTGTTAAGGATGCGTTGTTAAGGACGTGTTAAGGATGCGTTATTAAGGACGCGTTGTTAAGGACGTGTTGTTAAGGATGCGTTGTTAAGGACATGTTGTTAAGGATGCGTTGTTAAGGATGCGTTGTTAAGGATGCGTTGTTAAGGACGTGTTGTTAAGGAGGCGTTGTTAAGGACGTGTTGTTAAGGATGTGTTGTTAAGGACTGCACTGTTGAGGATGCGTTATTAAGGATGCGTTGTTAAGGACGTGTTGTTAAGGACGCGTTGTTAAGGATACGTTGTTAAGGATGCGTTTTTAAGGACGTGTTGTTAAGGATGCGTTGTTAAGGAGGCGTTGTTAAGGACGTGTTGTTAAGGATGTGTTGTTAAGGATGCGTTGTTAAGGACGTGTTGTTAAGGATGTGTTGTTAAGGACTGCACTGTTGAGGATGTGTTATTAAGGATGCGTTGTTAAGGACGTGTTGTTAAGGATACGTTGTTAAGGACGCGCTGTTGTGTTGTTAAGGACGTTGTTAAGGATGCATTGTGGATGTGTTAAGGTAACGCTGTTAAGGACTGCGTTGTTAAGGATACGTTGTTAAGGACGCGCTGTTAAGGATGTGTTGTTAAGGACGTTGTTAAGGACGCATTGTGGATGTGTTAAGGTAACGCTGTTAATGACTGCGTTGTTAAGGATGCGTTGTTAAGGACGTGTTGTTAAGGACGTTGTTAAGGATGCATTGTGGATGTGTTAAGGTAACGCTGTTAATGACTGCGTTGTTAAGTATGCGTTGTTGAGGATGCATTGTTGAGGATGTGTTGTTAAGGATGCGTTGTTAAGAACGTGTTGTTAAGGATGTGTTGTTAAGGACTGCACTGTTGAGGATGTGTCGTTAAGGATGTGTTGTTAAGGAAGCACTGTGGATGTGTTAAGGTAACGCTGTTAAGGATGCGTTGTTAAGGACGTGTTGTTAAGGATGTGTTGTTAAGGACTGCACTGTTGAGGATGTGTTGTTAAGGACGTGTTGTTAAGGATGTGTTGTTAAGGACTGCACTGTTGAGGATGTGTTGTTAAGGACTGCACTGTTAAGGATGTGTTGTTAAGGACTGCACTGTTGAGGATGCGTTGTTAAGGACGTGTTGTTAAGGATGTGTTGTTAAGGACTGCACTGTGGATGTGTTAAGGTAACGCTGTTAAGGATGCGTTGTTAAGAACGTGTTGTTAAGGATGTGTTGTTAAGGACTGCCCTGTTGAGGATGTGTTATTAAGGATGCGTTGTTAAGGAAGCACTGTGGATGTGTTAAGGTAACGCTGTTAAGGATGCGTTGTTAAGAACGTGTTGTTAAGGATGTGTTGTTAAGGACTGCACTGTTGAGGATGTGTTATTAAGGATGCGTTGTTAAGGACGTGTTGTTAAGGATGTGTTGTTAAGGATGTGTTATTAAGGATGTGTTATTAAGGATGCGTTGTTAAGGACGTGTTGTTAAGGATGTGTTGTTAAGGACTGCACTGTTGAGGATGTGTTATTAAGGATGCGTTGTTAAGGATGCGTTGTTAAGGACGTGTTGTTAAGGATGCGTTGTTAAGGATGTGTTGTTAAGGACATGTTAAGGACGCACTGTGGATGTGTTAAGGTAACACTGTTAAGGACGCGTTGTTAAGGATGTGATTGAGAAGGCAGAGGTAGTGCAGCTGTAACTGTGCTAATCACTTCAGCTCTGTGAGCTGCAACATGCATTAATATATGATTAATCAGTAAGTGGTTCCAGGTTTCAGCATTAGTGTTTCCTTACCTGTACGCGGAACTTCCAGGTGGTTCCCACAGGAACGCCAGGAACTGGTCCATAGTGATTAGAGGGAACGATGGTGCATTCTTTAGTACGACCCACACACGCCATTCCCTGCAACACACACACACACACACGCACACACACACACACACAGTTGGTCAGGCTCCTGTTGGATTCTGTATAAATCTTTACAGTCATACTGAAAGTGAGAAATGTGACACGTAACGAATCTTTTGATGGGTATGAAACTATGTACTTCCACTCTTATGCATACGGAAGCTTCACTGCTTTTTCAGGTTTTTTGAGGCGATGTTTTTAATTATTGTTGTTTCTTTCCAGGAATGAGCGAGTAAGTGTTTTCACTCCAGTGTTTCCAGTAAAAATCCCTCTACAGTCTGATTCATCTCCACCAGCAGCAGCAGCAGCCGCCAGCTCAACAGGAGAGGATATGAGTCAATGAGACATCACCACTTATACACACTCATGAGAGGACCCCCTTACACACACACCTACCCACACACACACACACACACACACACCTACCCACACACACACACACACACACACATATATATGTATTTATATTTTAAAAAGCTGGGAGGTGGCGGACACACATATGTAAGTTTTCCAAAATGACTAAGAAAGCGGAACAACATCCAGAACAAAGTTCTACTAAAATCAGTAAGTTCTAATAAACTTAATATTTAGAATGAAGGTCTAATAAAATTAATATACAGAATTAAGGTCTAATAAATTTAATACTTAGAATAAAGTTATAATATAATTAAGATTTAAAATGAAGGTCTAATAAAATTAATATTCAAAATGAAGTTCTAATAAAAATATTTAAAATGAAGTTCTAATAAAATGAACATTTAGAATGAAGTTCAAATAAAATAAAATACCAAATGAAATTCTAATAAAATTAATATATAGAATGAAGGTTTAATAAAATGAACATTTAGAATAAAGTTCTAATAAAATTAATATTCAGAATGAAGGTCTAATAAAATTTATATTTAGAATGAAGTTCAATACAATTAATATTTAGAATGAAGTTTTAATAAAATTAATATTTAAAATGAAGTTCTAATAAAATGAACATTTAGAATGAAGTTCTAGTAAATTAATATTTAAAATTAAGTTCTAATAAAATTAATTTTTAGAAAGAAGTCCTAATAAAAATAAACATCCAGAATGAAGTTCTATAAAATAAACATCCAGTATTAACTTCTAATTAAATGAATATTCAGGATGAAGTCATAATAAAATTTGTACTGGTAATGCATCAAATTGCCTCATATATCCTGTGTATGTATGTATACGTATAGAGGTCATCTTCAGTCATTTATTTATCAAAAAATTAACCAATTACAGTAAATATTATTTAAAAAGACATGTCAGTATCTCTGTACTGGGCATCAAGGAGATATCTGGAACCAAACTTTGTTATTCAAACTAGCTCACAAGATATCAACAACATTTTTGAAATCTGCAAATTCTCGCAAATTTTTTTTACTATATTTAGATTTCTTTGCATTCTAATGTTACATAGTGTTTTACTGGAGAAACACACTTATGGTTTAAAACAATGTGCTTTTGCACTGTACAAATACAAAGAGTCTGGATGCAATCAACGTTCCAGTTCGTCCCAAAGGTGCTCAGTGGGGTTGAGGCCAGGGCTCTGTACAGGTCACCAAACTTCTATTTCAAATTAATAGCTGTTACAGTTGTCTGGGGCAGATCTAGCAGGGCAGAACTTTCACAAACTGGCTTGTGGCAGAGGCAGCATCCTATGCAGCCGTTTAGTCACCGTGCTCTTCAATATGACCCATTCTACTGCCAGTGTCTGTGTATCGAGACTGCAAGGCTACTTGCTTAATTTTATACACCTGTTAGCAATGGGTGAGGCTGAAACACCTGAACTCAATAATTAGGAGGCATGTCCACATACTTTTGGCCATACAGTGTAAGTATGAATGATACAGATATATGCTTACTCGAAAAGAAAAAGTCTTTTCTTCTTTTGAGAAGTTACCATTCTTGACATAATAACACACACACACACACACACACACACACACACACACACACACACACACACACACACACGCTAATGCTGCTGTTTATAGGAAGCCACCCACGAAACCCCCACTACTACCACTACTGGTACTACCAGTAACCACAGGAAGTATCTCCTTGCTATGACTCAACAGGCACACACTCAGTTTTGGCACGTGCCCTGTAGCTGAAATACAGTCTGCTACTGTAAAACAAAGCCACGACTCGAGTCTTACTCACGGAACATAAAACACGGCGCAGGACTGAGCACAACACAGTCCTCTGATGATGTAATGTGCGACAGATCCACGCTGGAAGAAACTTGAGACGTCTAATATCTCAGACATCTCCGTTAACTTCAACCTTCTGCCCTCCCGCTCTGGATTGGGGAAGTCCCTCGTCCTTAGGGACTTTCCGTCTTCGCTACCGTCTATTATTACAAAAGAGGGACGCCCTCATCTCCACTGCAGCGCCTGTGATTGTGTTCTCACTTAAAAAAATCACAACGACACATAAAAGATTCATGGATTTGTTTGCGACTACTGTTGTGTGTGAAATGTCAACACAAGAAAGAAAAGCAGTGAATTAACACCAGAGCCACCTTTGAACATCAGAGCAAACAAAGCTCCCGTCATAATGGATAAAAAATTAAATACAAATTTGAGGCACTGCAACCAATTAGGGGAGCGCAACCTACTGGAGATACGCTTGAGAACTGACTCTGAGTCGCTCCTGAGAGACTTGAGACGTGATTCAGACTCACCCCTCAAGGACTTGACCTCAAAGTCTTAAAACCTGACTCAGATCCGCATCTCAGAGACTCGGAACTCGACTTGACTCAAGGCTTGATTTAGACTCGCTCCTCAGAGACTCAAGACCTGGCTTGAACTCTGCTCAGAGATGCAAGACTCAACTTGGACTCTCACCTCAGAGTCCTGAGACTCGACTTGGACCATCACCTCAAACTTGAGACTCAACTTGGACTCTCACCTCAGAGTCTTGAGACTCAACTTGGACCCTCACCTCAAACTTGAGACTCGACTCGGACTCTCACCTCAGAAACTCGAGACTTGACTTGGACTTTCGCCTCAAAGACAACACAGGACTCTACTTGGACTCATACCTCATGGACTTGAGACTCGAATCGGACTTGCATCTTAGTGATTTGAGACTTGACTCGGAATCTCACTCAAAAACTACTCAGACTTGCACTCCAGAGACATGCGACTTGACTCAGACTTGCATTCTGGAGACTTGAGACTCAACACCAACTTGCGCAAAGTGAGTAGTGAACAGTTCTGTGATATACACTAGTACAGATGAGTCTACAGCACTGGTTTAGGACCAGAGGGTATCAATTTGTGCCTCTAGTGCTGATGGATCCCCCGAAACCAATCATATGTGCCTGACCCCAGTCTCAGCTCTGATGACAGTTAATGGTGATCGCTGGTTGAGTCACCAAATTGTCCCCTCACGTCTGTTTTTCATGCAGTATTCAAGTCAGCCAATATCCTCTGTAGCCTGCTGCCTGGAAAATACCCCCACCATGTTGAGTACAATTTGTGATGGAATATGGAAGAAAACTGAAAAATTCTGACTCACGGCCATCTTGCCACGTGTCCGCACTTTGTTAGCTCACTAGAAGAAATTTTTTCTTCTATATATAGTATTTGAAGCACAACCCTGCCTCATCAAACCGAGGCAGGTGATTCCAGTCCAGTGGTGTTTATTAAAGCCCACAGTTGCTATTGCATTATCATTAACCCCTTAAAATCCCAGACTTATTACACACTTAGGTTTATTACTCAGAAACCTCAGTGCAAACTGGTTGAGCTATTCTTAGGTTATAGAAGTGTGTAATTAAACTTTGGGCATGCCGGTGGGCCCTGGCCATTTAAGAGGTCAGGGTTGACTGACCTGTGATAGCTATCCAGACCACTATACACCAAATGATTGCGTTCATGCGAGTATGTGCTACACAACTCTCATGATTTTATTCCAAAATTGGAAATGTGTCTGTGTGCCATGCACCCGTCCCTCAGGCCCCGATAACAGCTGCGTGAGCTAGCGGGGAGGCGGGGCCCGAATCCCGAAAACCGCTCCGCATCTCGGCCGCCTGGGTCAAACGTAAGGTGCTGTCTAGCGGCCTCGATGCAGAACAGGAAGCAGAACCTGGGCGGCGGAGCTCAGGACTCATGTTCCGCCTTCTTGCCTCTCGTAGCTGTCTTTGTGGTCGTGCTACAGTCTGCGACCCGTAAATCACTTTGAAACGTCGTTTGGTGGAAGGCCGGCATAATATGCCTCTCTTTCCCTCAGTAGGCATAGAGAGACCAGAGAGAGAGGAACCACAAGGCCGCAGAGGAGAAGACAAGATGGCTGACGTCTTTATTTTGTGTTTTGAGGTTTATATAACAAAATATCCATTTTTTGTTATAATAAAGTACCACCTCTGCATCTCCACTCCGCCTTCCTCTTGTCCTATTCACCCCGCCAAGGTGTCACACACTGTCATCTATAAACACAGACTAAATTACAGACACAATTCAGGCTTCACAAAGGCTGCTAGTGTTTAACCTATGCAACATTCTTTTGAGGTAAGTAGATTTATTTGTTAATCAAACTGTTCCTTTAAGTGTGATATTCAAAGCCAAGGCCCGCAGGTTTCCAAGCAAGGGATCTGCATGCAGCTTGACAACCTTATGTAAAACTCATGTCATTTAGCAGAAACAGTAGCACTTGAAAAGTCAAACACATCCACCTTGTGTTTCCACTAACTGGCCACTTTATTAGAAACGCCTACCTTGTGCTTCCACTAACTGGCCAGTTTATTAGAAACACCCACCTCGTGATTCCACTAACTGGCCACTTTATTAGAAACACCCACCTTGCGCTTCCATTAACTGGCCACTTTATTAGAAACACCTACCCCCTTTACTCAACTCATCACCGGTTAGTTTCAGATCACAGGGCTGCTGTTGTCCAGATGTTATTTGGGTGGTGGATCATTTTCAGCCCAGCAGTGTTTCTGTGGTTTTTATACACTGCTATGTTGAGAGTGGACCACCACCCAAAAATATCCATACTCTGACCACTGATGAAGGACTAGAAGATGAAACTGAGCATCAACAGATGAGCTGCAGTCTCTGACTGCACACCAGCAAGGTGGAGCTACAAAGGAGGGGTTTCTGATAAAGTGGCCAGGTGGTATATATTGTACAGATGTGAGTAAGAATAATATAATTCTGACGCTCAGGTGTGAATCTGCTCACCTTGCCCCAATCCCTTTGACTCCCGTTGGTGGCTGAAGGCATCTTGGCCTTTTTCTTACTGGTCTTCAGCTTCTCACCTGCCTTCACCACCTCACTGGTGTCATTCTTACAGGTGGGGCAGTACCTGAACACACACACACACACACACAGACACACACACACACATAAACAGAACATCGGTTTGTATCTGCATGTTTTCCCATTTAAGTTAGCATATTGTTATGAGTGTTTCCATACAATAGGGCATATGTACTTAATAAACATGGGACATATTTTGTTACATATACATATTTGAACCATTCTACTGAATTGGCTCCAACTGCGCTCCCACAGTAAAAAAATAATATTTAGTATTCAATACAAAGAATTCAGACCACAGATATTTACAAGGACTATGGTCCCAAAGTCTGAAAATAAGTGTGGAACATTAATAATCGTCATATTTTCTGCAGTGCAGCACTTTTTAGTGTTTGAATGAAAAAAATGTTGATTTTATTTCATTCGTTTTGATAAAATAAACACAATTAAGGTACAGGGTCACTCAAAGTAAAAGGATTTTAGTCTAACGTCCCAAATGACTTTGAGCATCAAATACACACCAGTCCTCGTCGTCGGGGACGGTGGACAGTGGGGGGTTGAGGCAGTACAGGTGGAAGGCCATGTTACACTCATCACACAGCAGCTGCATGTGCGCGTCCTGCTTCCCTCCACAAACACAGCATGAACAGAAACGGCACTCCGCATCCGGATCCGCCTTACAGTGCTTACACTCCGGACCACTCTTACCTGATAAACACACACATACACAAACACACACACACACACACACACACATTTAATACATGACATATATCAACTTCGTAGGAAACTTTATTGGGAAGTTTTTCAATTTCTTTATTATTTAAATGTTGCTTTTTGGCTGAAGCAGATACCTCCAATGGTCATTTCATGTTTCAGAGTTAAAGCCGTTTAATGGACACAAGTTTCTTTAAGGTCAACATTTAACACCTTTACCATGAAACAAGCAGGTAAAGATCTGAAAACTGAACCCAAACAGCTGGTAATGATCAATATTAATCACCTATAAGATCAGAGCTCTGAAAATCCTCAGGCTGAGTCTCAGACGCCTCACTGCTCCCTATAGAGTCACTATGAGTTATGAAGTTTAGTCTTTTCCACCCAAATGTTGGTCTTTATCCAGTATGAATCGTCTCTCATGGCTGAATCCAGAGTGGTTCTCTGTGAGACTCTGAGCTCTGTTTAGATCAGTAGCCGTTAGTTTAAGACCTGCGTGCTGCTCTTTGTTGGAGACGGAGCCGTTTGAGATTCTGCCTCAAACAGTTGGTAGCAGTGCTGAGTCACCTGACCTGAATACTGCACGCTGATTGGCTGAGCAGAGTTATGGGAACAGCGCTGGAGTTTGACCGTTTCTGCTGTAAAGCGTGAACTTGCCATGCCTTGATCATGAACAATAACGGCTTTGACTAATACATATGTATATATATATATATATATATATATATATTTATATCATATATATAAAATAAGTTAACAAATCAAATCAAATATAGCAAAAAATATGGCATTGTTTTGCAAATTTTAGTGCACAATTTCTGTTTACTTGTTGAGTTTAAGGGTATTTGGCGAAACAAAACATACAGTATAAAATGGGCCATGACTTTTGCACAGGCCACATTTTATGTTTTTGTTTTTTCTATTATGGTAAATTCAGCAAATAAACAGTAGTTGTGTATTAAAGTGTGCAGTAGTGTGTTCTCTGTAGAGGACGTGTTAACTTATTCACACTTAGAAAATCAACAAAAATCAGTCTGTATTAACGTGACTGTATTTGTGTGTGTGTGTGTGTGTGTGTGTGTGTGTGTGTGTACGTTTGAACTGGCCGTCAGTGAGAGACAGTGGAGGAGCTCCAGGTTTTTCTATACGGTAGATCTCGTCCAGAAACTGCAGCTTACAGTCACCAATCACATTGCCTGGACCGCTGCAAAGCAACCAGTCAGAGGAAGGACAGTGTCGGGTGATAATACAACACACATTGAAGCATTCAGAGTCTGTGCAGGGTGTAAACTGGACAGTGGAGGTGTCAGTAACACTCTAACTTAGCTTAGGTGGTGGTGGGGGTTGGATATGGTATGCATATTCATTAGTATGTGCATTCTTAATGAGCGTAAAGCTTTCGAGATGTTCCTATGCCATTTTTAGCTGTAGTTTCTACTAATTTTCTACTAATACACAGTAATATATATTGATACATAAAAGTAAATAAAATATTTAACAATTTTTAAACATAACATTAATTTATTATTTATTATTATCTGAATTCCAGCTTTATAGCTACTTTAACTGACAGCCAGTTTAGTACAAACTACCAAACAACTACCAGCTCCGTCATTTCCCCTCACATATTAACGAAGCCTGAGGTGCAGCTACGCCCCCTGCGATCTTACCCAAGTACGATTTTGGCGCGGACCTCCTTCTTGGTCCTGGAGATGTGGTTGAGCGCTGTGATTTCAGCGTCGTACCAGAAGCCCCTCTCCTCGGGCAGCTCCAGGTTGTAGTTGACCATCACCACCTGGCCCACTTCCAGCTGCTCGAAGCGCAGCAGCGTCCGGGCCCGTGGGCGCACATCCTCCGCGTTCATCTCCACCACCCCGTTCTCCGGGTAACTGCAGACACAGAGCAGAGCGAAAACCATCAGCCTTCCGAACTGTGACTGACACGGTGGCGTTTCATACAACCACATTTCACTTACATTGCGCAATGTCACTGATGTTTTCAGATCTGATCAGCTTGATTTTCTCCTCTCTCTCAGAGATGAAAGCTTTAAGTGCTGTTTATCTGATGGGGGCAGTTTTGGGGTCGACCAGGTCTTCCAGGTGGTTGTTATGAGGCACATTTTCTCTGGAGCTTTTAATCAGTTTTTGTTATATAAGTTATATACTATGTAATATATAGACAGGAAGTGTACTCAATTTTGAGTGTGTGATGCAGAGCCAGTTCAATTTAATCACAACTCCAGATTTGGAAACTCCTGTTTTTCACTTATTCTCTTTTGACTTTGCTTTGCTGGAAATGAACTAAAGGAAGCGACGTCTCTGACTTCAGCACAGCACTGTAGCTGAATGAGAAGCCTGCATGAGCCCAGCTCATATAATACAGTCTCATACAAGCTTACAGTATCTGCACACACACACACACACACACACACACACACACACACACACACACACAGTTCTGCTTTGTGCCTTAGGAAAGAATCCAGTGTGTGTGGAATCACATTGATATTCAGAACATGATTATACAGAAAGAGAGAGAGAGAGAGAGAGAGAGAGAGAGAGAGAGAGAGAGAGATGGGGCACATAGAAAGTGAGAAAGCGAGTGGAGAGAGAGAACAAAGAGGAGAGAGACAGACAGCGTGAGAGAGAATGAGAAAGAGTGGAGAGAAAGACAAAAGAGAGACAGACAGAGCTGAAAAACAGAGTGAGCGAAGAGAGAAGAGATACAGAAAGGGAGAGAAAAAGGGACATTTACAGAGAGACTGAGGTGAGTGAGTGAGTGAGAGTGAGTAAGTGAGAGAGTGTGAGTGAGTGAGTGAGAGTGTGAGTGAGTGAGTGAGACTGAGTGAGAGAGAGTGTGAGTGAGTGAGAGTGAGTGAGTGTGTGTGTGAGTGAGTGAGTGAGTGAGTGAGAGAGACTATGTGAGAGAGTGTGCGTGAGTGAGAGTGTGAGTGAGTGAGTGAGTGAGTGAGTGAGAGTGAGTTAGTGAGTGTGTGAGTGAGAGTTAGTGAGTGAGTGTGTGAGTGAGTCCGAGAGTGTGAGAGTAAGTGAGTGAGTGAGTGAGTGTGAGTGAGAGAGACTGAGTAAGTGAGAGTGTGTGAGTGAGAGTGTGAGTGAGTGAGTGAGTGAGAGAGAGTGTGAGTTAGTGAGTGAGTGAGAGAGTGTGAGTGAGTGAGTGAGTGAGAGTGTGAGTGAGTGAGTGAGTGAGAGTGAGTTAGTGAGTGTGTGAGTGAGTGAGAGTGTGAGTAAGTGAGTGAGTGAGAGAGTGTGAGTGTGAGTGAGTGAGACTGAGTAAGTGAGAGTGTGTGAGAGAGTGTGAGTGAGTGAGTGAGTGAGAGTGTGAGTTAGTGAGTGAGTGAGAGAGAGTGTGAGTGAGTGAGTGAGAGTGTGAGTTAGTGAGTGAGTGAGTGAGTGAGAGAGAGTGTGAGTGAGTGAGTGAGAGTGTGAGTTAGTGAGTGTGAGAGTGTGAGTGAGTGAGTGAGTGTGAGTGAGTGAGTGAGTGTGAGTGAGTGAGTGAGTGAGTGAGTGTGAGTGAGTGAGTGAGTGTGAGTTAGTGAGTGAGTGAGTGAGTCAGAGTGTGAGTAAGTGAGTGAGTGAGCGAGAGAGTGTGAGTGAGTGAATAAGTGAGTGAGTGAGAGTGTGAGTGAGAGAGAGTGTGAGTGAGTGAGTGAGTGTGAGTGAGAGAGTGAGTGAGTGAGTGTGAGTGAGTGAGTGAGTGGGTGAGAGAGAGTGTGAGTGAGTGAGTGAGAGAGAGTGTGAGTGAATGAATGAATAAGTGAGTGAGTGAGTGAGTGAGAGAGAGCGTGAGTGAATGAATGAATAAGTGAGTGAGTGAGTGAGTGAGTGAGAGTGTGAGTGAGTGAGAGTGAGAGTGAATGAATGAACAAGTGAGTGAGTGAGTGAGTAAATGAGAGAGAGTATGAGTGAGTGAGAGAGAGTGTGAGTGAGTGAGTGAGTGAGAGAGAGTGTGAGTGAGTGAGTGAGAGAGAGTGTGAGTGAGTGAGAGAGAGTGTGAGTGAGTGAGTGAGTGAGAGAGAGTGTGAGTGAGTGAGTGAGAGTGTGAGTGAATGAATGAATAAGTGAGTGAGTGAGTGAGTGAGAGAGAGTGTGAGTGAGTGAGTGAGTGAGTGAGAGAGAGTGTGAGTGAGTGAGTGAGTGGATGGTAGTGGTCTTTAAAGCAGATGTTGGCTCTGCATCACACACTCAAAATTGAGTACACTTCCTGTCTATATACATATATATATATCTAAGTTATATAGTATATAACTTACATAACAAAAACTGATTAAAAGTTCCAGAGAAAGTGTTCCTCCTAACAACCACCTGTAAGACCTGGTAGACCCCAAAATTGCCCCCATCAGATAAATGGCACTTAAAGCTTTCATCTTTGAGAGAGAGGAGAAAATCAAGCTGAACGATGGACTGACCACCCCAGAGTCCAGACCTCAACACCACTGAATGTGTTTGATTACTTCAGAAAATCATCAACCAGCTTCTAAGACTGAACTTTGGAGGTGTGTCTGCAGATTCTTTGAGGAACTGAAAAGAAAATGTAATGTATATGTAATATAATATTTAGCTCTGCTAAAGCCTGAGTACACTGATAAATCAAACTGATCAGTTATTAGTGACATGGCACAGCATTTTAAATAATAATTTAAATAAACAGATCATTTGCAAAATTCCCTTAGCAATTAATGCTACATCAGTGAAACTAACTGATAGCACCCACAAGCAATTCCTATCAATTCCTATCAAAGTATACAGTAATTCCGTATACCAGGATATTAAATACGCATGGTAACGTTATTGTGGAATTAAATCAAAATAAAAAAAGGTGAAAACTGACATTCCACCCAGCTTGGAGGAGTTTTCATTGAAATAATGAGACGTTTTCAGAAAGATTCACCATAAAACTGCAAAACAAAATAAAGTACCAAGTGATAAATCGCCGCTGTTGGAACAAAACCTCCCATCTCCATTTTTGTCGTTTTCAGTCTTTGACATAATTTGAAAATACCTATTGTTCTTTACACTGTGTGTAAATTTAATGATGAATGGACCAAAAGAAACGGCCCAAAATGACTTGGAAAGACGTCTGGTTCCATTGACTTACATTAAAAGTAGAGTAGGTTTTTTCCTTCTCCCGTAAAGTTACCATTTTGGAGATACGAGGTTTTCTATCGACAGCACTGAAATATACTCTGGCTGAGTATCTGTTAAATGTGAAGGCTGGAGCTGCGTAGTGTTGAAATATTAACATCATTTGACCAAATTTGCACCTTTGTCTACAGCCAGTGTTCAGGCGTTGGAAAGAGATACTGCTGAACACTGTATGGCCAAAATTCTGTGGCCTAATAATACGGTTCAGGTGTTTTAGATACACCAATTGCTAACAGGTGTATATAATCAAGCACATAGCCTTGCGGCCTCCCTAGACAAACGCTGGCAGTTCAGCCACAAAGCTGTAGACTACATACAAACAAGTAGCACACAGTGCATAAACAATTGGTTAGCAATTAGCTGCCGGATAATTAATAATTGGTTATTTGAGTGTGGTAAAATTTGCATTCTTAGCCTGCACACAGCGTTTACGGGTTGGAAGGAGATACCGCTGAACACCAGAGTGGACTCTGAGGATGAATGGAGTGGGGAGAGAAAGAGAGAGAGGCTGATTCTCTCTTTTTTGGGCTAAGAGGATTACAGGGACCCAGACTGGGTGGAACAGCAGTTGTTTAAGCGAGCGCCACACACACACTCACACTGCTGGGCTGCATTAACCCATCAGTTAGCACTCTTCAGCAGAACGAAAGTAACCCATTCGAGATGATACAGGCTGTAATTTGTTAGTCTGTAATAATAATCCTCAGTAATTCAGTGTCTGATGTTGTGTCTCTTGTTGTGCAAATATTAGTGCTATCAAGGAGCGTTAATAATGTTTTAACGCAATAAACGTAACGCCACTAACTTTTTTCATGTTGTTAACACATCATCCAGGTCTGATATAGAAACACAGATTTGGTTTCAGGTAGGCCAGCAGAGCAGTCGTTTTGGGGCGTACGGACTGCACCTGTTAAACTGTACAGCAGTTTAAAAAAGGTAGCTCCCAAATTATACTTGAGCCACACCCATTGCTAGCAGGTGTATAAAATCAAGCATATAGCCTTGCAGCCTCCATAGACACACACTGGCAGTAGGGGGTCGTACTGGAGAGCTCAATGACTTTAAACATGGTGCTGTCATTTCTGCCCTAGACAACTGTAAGTGCTATTATCGTGAAACAGAAGCATCTAGGAGCAACAACAGCTCAGCCACGACGCGGCAGACCACGCAAACTTAAAGAGGGGCTGCCGAGTGCTGACGTGTGTAGTGCCTAAAAATCCTCTGTTGAATCACTCACTACAGAGTTCCTAACTGCCTCTGGAGGCAGCATCGGCACAAGAATTGTGCGTCGGAGCTTCATGAAATGGGTCTCCATGGCTGAGCAGCTGCACACAAGCCTATTATCACTTTGCTCAATGCCAAGCGTCGGCTGGAGGGGTGTAAAGCGCCTCCACTGGACTCTGGATCAGTGGAACCGTGTTCTCTGGAGTGATGAATCAGCTTCTCTATCTGTCAGTCTGATGATGAGTCTGGGTTTGGTGGATGTCAGGAGAACGTTACCTACCGGAATGCAGAGCCAACAGTAGAGTAAATCATTCCTAGACCACTTTATCCTGATCTGCTCTACTGTATTCTACTGTCAGATCGACTCTGCTCTACTCTACTTTGTTCTATTCTACTTCACTCTATTCAACCACACTGAATTCTATTCTATTGAACTGTACTGTTCTATTATAATCTATTCATTGCCATTCCACTATATTCTTCTCCACTTTGTTCTATTCTAT